TCGGGTGAAGCTCAACAAGCAGGAGTGGTAGATCAACTGAGAAAAGTTTTCAGAGAGTTTGCAACTGGCTTGGTTCCAAATGCCCTGCTCTCTTGCTACTACCTAGTTATTTTTCTACTCTGATGATGGAAGGGATCAGAAGCTTGCCCAGTAGCTACATTTGTGTAAAAATTTACAAGAAAGATTAATTAAAGAAAACATCTTCTATAGTAACCTTCCTTCAGGGGTATCTCCCAATAAGGTGGACTTTCTGAGCTCAAGTTGGTAATCATCCATATTTTTGTGAAAACCCTTAGTTGTTTTAAAAAGAAAGTTGCCGAGGATTCTAAGAAGCTACAAAGCTATATTATAAAGCCATGCTACTCATTTCTATTTATTCATGTATTTATTTATTAATTACAGTAATTGGGGGAGTAACTTACTCGGTATTAGTTAACATTACTTGATAGACAAAACTACCAGGCTGGCCTATAGATTAAGAAAGATATAGCTCATCACAGTTACTCTTGACTTTTACAACTTATCTGTTATAGTTCATCAGAACTTGTTTTTGTCTATTAAAAGTTAAAATAATAGATCTTTATAGTATTTTTGGAGAAATTAATTTCTTAATATGTGGATCAGAATCTCTCAACTTATATTCAAAATACTCCAAGATATTTATCTGAAAAGACATAATTACCTTATTTGAAATCACTGTTTAATCTGGTAGCCTCCATTTATATAATACCTCAAAACATTAAGCACATTTTCAACTACACACACACACACCAAAGCAATTCAAAGAAATTAAAAAGAGGAAGAAAAGGGGAGGGGAGGAAATTCCAAAGATACAGCTGAAGATACAATCTATGAAAATGTATATAGTATAATTTTTTACATAAATGAAAAAATATAAGTTACCATACATCTTTTCCTTAGAAACAAGGACTAATATCATGCTTCCAAATATACTTGTACTTGTTTATCATTTAAAAAAAATCAAATGAGTTGTTACTGGTTAGTGAAGGTAAGGAGCTCAAAGGGTTGAGTGATGGCCTGGCTTTTAGAAGATAGTGGATCAATTGATTGCTACTGAAAAGTGGTTGTAAGGCATAGAACAATTAAGCTGTAATCTCATTTTCTTTATTCTCTAGTATCTTGGGGCACTTGCATTTAGTTTATTGAAGTTAGCCATTCACCTTGTTGTTTATCGGTATTTTCTGGATAAATAGCTGATGGTAAGACTTGCTGCTCAAAATACTTAGGACTTCCCAGTATAAGTCTTGCTACGGTTGATAATTATAATTGATCATTATAAGTTGCTCTTTTTAAATGTAAACTGTTGTTGCCATAGTAGGTAGCCAATTAGACAAGAACATTTTTAGGGAAAACACAATCCTTTATTCTCCACCTGCCAACTTACTCACTTAAAAGAGAGAAAAAATGGACAAGGCAATCTTTCCCTCACAGTGGCAAAGAAAAACTGCTCTTGAGCATAAGAAAATGGCTTGCTTCTCCTGCTAGAGGCACCTATAAAAAAATCTTTTTTCACTTATGTTTTCTCACTAAAAGGGTTACATGTAAGTCAGGCCTATCTTCAGCAGAAAATGACGGTTTTTTAATATAAAAATGATTTGACATTAGTTTTGTTACATATATATTTATACATAATACATTAATAATTTCAGCTGTGCTTTAGACTAATTCATAGATCATTTCTCAACATACAGTTCAACTACACAAGGTGAACTCCCATAACCCCCAGCTGCTTTTTGTTAGCACCTTTACATTAAGTTAAGACTTTTTTGGGTGCAGAAATGTGAACCTTGCTGAGTTCAGTGGAACTTACAATTGTGTATAGCATTGCTGTCTTAATGCGTTAAATTCAAGCTTTTTTCACTGTTGAGTTCTCAGAAATTCATTTTAGCTACTTCAGTTGTAGAGCAATTTCTTTTTAGCCATAGAGTAATTTCTTTTCACAAGACTCCACAATAGTTGCTTGCACTGTAGATGTGCATGTGTTCCTGTATTATATTGATCCCCCCCCTCCTTTATGGTAGTTTGTCCTTGTATGTGCACTTTCTTTCTCTTCTCAGCACAAATCTTCTGCATTTGAAACTGATAAATGTATGGTTGAATTTGTGAGGTTTTTTTGGAAGGGGAAAGGAGTTAATAAAGAGCCACAGTGTTTTGCAGAATATATTTGTGATAATTTTGCTAATATAAAATAAAATATATCATGTTTTGTGCTAATAAGCAAGCAGGCATTTGTTTGAAATTCTCTGCTTTGTGCCTACGTATATAATAGTAGTACTGACTTGGGAATGAAATTCATTGAAATGAAGTGGAATTTACATATGAGTAAACAGGCATAAAACTGTGTTACATAATTTCCCATTTTCTATTTATAAATATGGAAGAGTTAAGTAGGCACATAAGTTTTCTTGATTTTTTTCCAGTTTTTGTACAAAGTATGCATTTAAATCTGCATCTTTTTTTAAAAAAAACTTTCCTACAAAAAGAATAAGTGCTTGAGCTACAGTATGTTATCAGATGTAATCATATTGTTGATTTCTATCAATAGAGCAACTTTAAAATAAATTATGATCAGTCTTCTATTGATCTGGCTTATTCCAGGTGACGATGTCCTATATACAGTCCTTGTTTAGCAACCCAATTAGGATTGCCAATTTGTTAAATCAAGCAGTGATTGAAAAGATCACAATTTTATTATCTTCAGCTTTCCATCACCACCATAACTGCTAAAACGTAGCAATCACTGAATGAGGAATACATACAAAATGTTTAAATAAGGTATAGGAGTCAATAACAATTTAAACAGATATAAAATATTTGAAACCATGACAGAAAAAATAGTTCTAGAGGTTTGTTTTGTGAAAGTAAAGTCAGAAAAATAATATATTCCAGCAGCACTAGAAGAAAATAGTGTTCTCATAATCCTGTTTCTAAGATCTAGGCAGTGATAATCAACTGTTGTTAGAGTCTTTGCATGATGGGAATATTTTTATTTATAATTTTAAAAATACAGTTTAAATATAAGCTTTAGAAAATGATTCCTATAGTCTTTGAGTTTTTATAACCTACAGGTTTTTTCTATGGTATCTTGTGCATGGTATACATGCTACCATAATGATTTAAAGGGTTGCCTGGTTTTTCTAATTTCTAAAATCATGTATTTACAAAGTAACTGAGATTAGCAGAGCAGAGCTCTATATAAAAATTTCATTATCACTGATATAAATATTTTCATTAATATTATAAGTAAATATATTCATTTAAAGGAAAGTTATCTTAAATAATACCAAGTAATACTTGTTTTCGTTTGGAAGATTAATACAAAGTGATCAGTAAACATTTCTTAAGCTATAGCGCACACTAGTGGATTTTTCTGTCATTTCAGAAAAAAATAAACATTTTATAGAAAAGGATTTTTGTATCATATATTACAAAATTAAGTGTGATTAAGTCATGTGCATATCATAGAATTGCAACATGTATAAAGTGGAAGGGATATTGTAAGTCATCTAGTTAAACTTTATTGCAGGAGTCCTCTAAACCATCCGGATCCACACTAGTCTTAGCAGATTTATTTCACTGCTAACCAGTTTTTAACGTCAGGAAATGTTGCCTAATATTCAATTTGCATTTCCTTTTTTAAAAAATTAATCCCCTCATCCTTTTTCTGTCTTTGGTTTTAAAAAAAACCAGAGCTTCCCAATCCTGAATCGACTTTGATCTTTCTGTAGGTGCTTATATTTGTCACCATTGAATATCAACCAGTCAAACTAAATTTGAACTATTGACCGTATTATCGTAAGGTGTTGATCAATCCCACTAATATCATTACAGGGTTAATAAACACCAGTTTAGTTTAATTCCATCTTCTATGTGATCTGTAAAGCTGAATGGCTGGGGATTGCTCTTGGGAAACCTCATCAATATACCTTTCCTGAAAAAATGGAAAATAAATTTCAAGCACTTTTTGAATGCAACTGAGCCAGTTAAAAATCCACTAAACCTTAGTAACTTGCATTTACGGTATCTATTTTGGCCACAAGTCCAGAGGAGACTACAGATAGCCTCAAAGAAGGAATTCAACATTAGATATACAGCCACTTAGCCCTGGAAAGGAAGAGGGGTGAAAAAGAAACTCAAGATTGCCCTATCTTGATTCTCTTTCATATAAAGGCAGAGAGAAATTCTGTCAAGTTTTCAAGATATTGTTAATATACTCTGCATCAGTGAAGAATTTCAGTAGATCATGTGAAGTCTGTTTCCTGATCTGGCCTTGACACTAAGATACAATAATCCTCTATATTGGATGCTTTATTGAGGTCAAATAACAATAGCTCCACAACATTTCCTGGTCTAACTAACTAGGTACTTTATCATAAAAAAGGATAATATAAGCTGACACAGTTTATTATTGACAAATCCAAGATGACAACTGTTAATGATAGTATTCTTTTCTAAACACTTGTATATAACTGGTCTGAATTTTCTTGGATCCTCCTGCTTTCCCTTTTTGGATATTACGGCAATTGCTCATCTCTGCTCTTTTGCTATATTAACTAACTTATTTTCATTGTTACCTGATACTGTTCTGATACTATAGTGGCAAAGATGGAAGTGAGTGTAACCATCTGTGGTATGCTTTGCAGTTGTAAAATATTATATTGACTATATGCTACATATTACCAAAATTAAAACTGTCCAGTGTTCTCTTTCTACAATGGCCAAATATGTGCATTTATAAAGTGCAATTGCACTCTCCTGTTTGTAATCCTCTCCAATTGATACTAAGAGACATAACCTCTTTCTTTCTTTCTAAAAATAATATTTGGCCATGATAACAAATAGCTATTTATAGCTTTATCTTTCATATCTATTTATAAAAGTAAAAATAATGTGTTGTACTCAATATGTTAATCCATGCTTATAATTTAAAATCTTCATATAAAGTGTCATAACTCGTTATGTTTATTTTTGAATTTTAGGTATTATACAGGTTGGAGCACACCAATAAATGGGGATGAGATTCATAAACGAGTGAAAAATATTTTAAGAACGCACAGTGCAAGGCAAAAGCTAACATTTGTAAGTCTGAAAATCAATTGGCATCTCTGTTCCTTCCTCAGGTTTTAAGCAACAAGGTTTATTAACCATTTCATGTAATTGCCAAGCTTTCAGCTATAGCAAACAGAGGTTCACTATTCAGCTTGCTAGTTCCTTCAGGCATTACAGTTTCCGCTCTCTGGATGCTAAGAGCATACCTATAACTTCTAAGAAAAGGCCGGATGAAACAATTTTTCAGGAAATATCTTCCTCTTTCCAAAGCACCATTCAGTATTACATGGAATAGAAGGGCAATAGGAGAATAAAGAATGCAGTTCTGTCTTCTAATTCAGTTTAAATTACTATGTAAATATACAATTTGTTCATTGGTATGGGTAAATAATTCAGGGGATGGAGCTCTCTCTTGCTTTGTGCCAAGATTTAGAGAAAAAGGAAGCACATTTAAAGAAAAAAGAAATGTATCTATTACAAATTTAGTTTGTCCAAATACCAGCATAGTGGCATGTTTAGAATTGGTGGGTGAATCTCATTCTTAGGCAGCTGGATATTCCTCTGTTGTCAGCTACAAAATAATCCTCCTCCTCCTGCTCCTGCTCCTGCTCCTGCTCCTGCTCCTGCTCCTCCTCCTCCTCCTCCTCCTCCTCCTCCTCCTCCTCCTCTTCAATTCATACAGAAGCTATAAATAGGAGGCTTAAAGTATATCCACCTTAGGAACTGGAAGACATTCATA